GGGATCACACTTCAAAAACTGACTTTGATTTTGATATCCTCTAAGGTTCTCTTTCTTTTGTCATACTACGCTTATTCATTGTCTTTTTAACCGACTTCAAAAGAAGGATGAGGTTGTCAATTCGACTGTATGTTTTTTTTTGTATGTTACACTATAATTCCTATAATTCTTTTTTTGTTGGAAAGAGGGTACCTCCATAGTAGTGCCATTTAATTTTGAGAGTGGCTATTCATGCATGAAGATTCATTTTTATAAATAGCGCCTAAATTTTATTTTAAGGAGCAATTATTTTAATGGTTGATTTTGCTATTCTCCAATTCAAGGCGTTTTTCTCTCTCAATATACTTTGAGTAGTGAGAACCGATTATTATTATCTCCTGTGTCAAGTTCCATATAGTGGCGAATTAGGGGATGAATCCGGGTTTGCGCACTTTCCGGTAACCGATTTCAATAAAACTTGGCAAATAGATGTAATTGCATGTACTCTTGAGTTCGGTTTTTGTAGTACTCTGTACTGAGATTACTGACTTGATTAGATTGACTCGAAAGTCTTCATTTATTTTCGTCGGCTGAGAATGCCTATTCTCACATTAATGTTAAGTTTGCAACAACTATTACTTTCATTTTATTTTGAATAGGTATATACGACAGAAGTTTATAGATTACACACTTTAGCGTATACACAGACATTGTCAAAAATATAGAGGTGTACGCGTTCGTGTCCGTTTTCGGACTATGACTGACTTATTGTTTTGGCCATAGTTTTTGTGTAGTATTTGATGTTCAATTGGCCTTAATGTCCATAACAAGACGCTCATGCCGGTTATCAACTGGTGTAGATATGATCGTAAAGCTGGTCAGTTCGTAAGGGCGCGGACTGACGATGTTGGTATCGCTTCAAACAGAGATAGCCATGAGAGGCAGATTTAGATTTTCCACCATGTAATCTTGACAAGACTGAATATCTTCCTTTTTGGCCTTTGCATATAATATATATCTATCCACAATTGTGCAGTTGTCTGCGGTGCCGAGTATAAGCAGATAGTTTGTGTGGAGAAAAAATGGAGTTTCAGGCAGGTCCCTGAGTAACGCAGAAGTCATCTATAATTAGTGTTGCCAGGTCAACAAAAAAAAAAAAAAGAAAAAAAAGGTCAAATCTGAAAAAAATCGGAAGATATTGCATCGAAAAACATTACATTGAGGAAAAAACCAGTACTTAGATGCTGAACTTACGATTACGTTGAAACACTTTTAATCGATTTTCTATAAGAATCAAACGTAGAAAATGAACCAAAATGAAAAAATGTAACTCAATTGATAAATAACGAAACTGATACATAAAGTTGCGAACACATACGTCAAGGTCACTAGACTAATATCTTTATCTGGCTTCTCATGTATTTAAATTTGGGTACGTAAAATGTCATAACATATTTACCAAAATATTTATTTTTCTTTATAACTTAACGAATTTCCGCTCTACAGAAATCACATTATTCATCAACATAAAATTTACATACCACAATGCACATACATTTAGCAAGGAAACTTTTACTTGAATATGAACTTTCAAATGACCATTTTGACACTATAACAAAATAAAAATATTTAAAAAATAAACCTTCTTAGCGCATTACACTCTCAAAATTAAAATTGCGGTTTTCTTTGTTTTCTTATTTTTGGTACTGCTTCTTCTTTCTTTTGTTTTATTGTCACTCTCCATATTTATGTCTTGTTGCATTTCTATACTTTTTTAATTAGTTTTTCCTTTAAGCAATGTGTTTATTTATCTTTAGTTGATTTTCTTTTCCTTTTGCTTCACTTAACTTTATTTACTTTACATTTTTTGAGTACCGCTTAGATACTTTACTTTCTTCTTATTTGATTTAACTCTATGTAAATGTTTTTTTCTCAAAACTTCACATTTTACAAGGACATTTTTTTTGCCTTTCGGTATTCGTCATGGGTGCCATTTCTACAAACAAAAGTAGTTTTAGTTAAATACTTTTTTTTATTAATTTTATGCACGTATCTGTTTGTTTGTCATTATAATTAATGTATATGCAACTTTATATATTCTTAGTTTCGTAACATAACGAAACTGTTAAGAATATCTGATAAATTCTTACGTCAACTTTTTTTAAACCACAACATTTATTTTTAAATTCAAATCTCAATGAATTTAGGAATATGTATGTATGTATCAGTAGCCTTTGATAATAAATTAAAATTCAGAAACACACTTTCTAAAGAAAACAGTCGTTAATCACCTGATAAAAAAATATACAAAGTACTTACCCAACTCAAACGTCCAATTTCTTCGCCGTAACAAAATGTCAGTTGATGACAAATATTAAAACAGGGTTCAAAGAGTCTTACCAATTAAAAAAAATAGTGTGGTGTTCAGAAATTCAGCAATTATTTTTAAAAGCTGTGTAACTAACACTAGGTAACGAAATTGATTTATTTAGGACAATAAATGAAAATATTATATACAAGTAAATTATAAAGATATATCGAAGCAGCTTTTAGAAAATCGTTTATTATATCTTTAAGGGTAATCACAACCCAACTTTGGCAGTATAATTGCTTATAAACATAAGTTATCAATTGGAATAGATACAACAGTCGCGGTAGGACATTTTAAAAAAGTATGAAGGGTATTTCAACCTCTTTTTTTGACATTGAAAGTACTGATTATATTGTATAATTTACCCAAGAAATAAACATTTTATGGTTGGAAAGAATTAACGTGCCAGAAAAGAAAAATTTTCTAGTGTATTTTCAAAACTAAATTTTACAAAGAAGTTTTAAGTAAAGGGACATGTAAATTTTACAAAGTTTAGTTTTACTTTAGTAAGTAATGTTTTGAATTTTATGTGACGACGCTTAAGAATTGTTTTTTCAATTGACTACAAAAAAAGGAAGAGATTCTAAATTCGTGTTTTTTTGTATGTTACGCGATAACTCCGATAATTTGTGAAGCCATTTGGATGATTTTTTTGTTGGAAAGGAGATATCTCAGTAGTGGTCCCATTTCAATATTTATTTTTATTTTTTATTATTGTGACTCGGCAAAATGACTGCACCGCGCCTGATGGAAAGTGCGAATACAGTCCAGAGATGAGAGTAACGGATGGAAAACACAAATATCTTCACTCCGTCACTATCATTTTGCCGGTCTGGCCAAATGCTTCAAATATGAAGAAAATATTCCACCTCTAAAGGTAGCAAACGACGGAATGAATCCGTTTTCGCGCACTTTTCGGTAACAGATTTCAATAAAACTTGGCACGTAATTCCACGAACTTTTGAGGTCGGTTTTTTAGTACTCTGTACCGAGATAATTTATGGCTTTACTCTACAGATAATCGAAGTTCCGTTTGACAGCTCTCATTCCAATTGCTAAAATAAAAAAGACGGCGGGAAACTCGAACGAAAAAGGCGCGTTTTTTAAAAAATAGTATTTTTGGACAATAACACTATAGATATTACTACCCCGCATTTTCTAGACCTGTGATGGCAAATATGCCATCACAAATAAAAATAAAAAAAAGAAAGGACGATGTTCTACGATTTGGCCACATTGTCAAGTTTTGCAAAAATTCCGAAAAATGTTCAATATGTTCAGAGAGTCACAGTTTAGATTACGCTAATGCTAAATGCATTTACCGCCGTGGAAACGATTTGGTTACGCTTGCCCAATCAAAATACAGAAAATTCATGATATTAAAATAAAGGCACAGACAGTCTCATATTCGGAACTTCTTAAATACTAAAACTTCCCAACATTGAATACCAAAATGACAATACAAAATCTTTTGAATTCAAATAAATTTACTAACTTTATAAACAGTAGTTTGTCAAATTAAGTTCAAAATAAAGACAAATTAGTCATCAACTCAATGACGTAAAAGGTTTTTAGTAGATACATTTGGGCACAATGTAAAATAGCCTAATCTGGGAGCAGTGCTCTACACTTTCACTTCAAAAACATAGAGTACGACGTCGTAAATTGAAAAAAAAAAACAAAAACGATTCATAAAATCTAAATAAGCCGTAAAGAATATTTAAAAAAGTGAAAAATCAGAAAATTTCTAAAAAAACAGTAGATTTTCGTTAAATAACAGTAGAACAGTAGATTTCGGCCAAAAACAGTAGATCTACTGGAAAGACTGTAGACCTGGCAACGCTGTCTATATCCCGCCGATTTACCGTGTAACCTACGCTCAATGCTTTTTAACATTTTGGAGATATCTTTGTGTGTAATGGCCTCACTTCACAGGTGGGAGGCATACACAGTAAGGGCCTCCGTAAACAGGCCTCGAAATCTGTATTAGCGATTATTGAGAAGGTAGTACTTATAAGTAAGCCAAGAGTCTATTATAATAAGTACATAATTCATGGTATTACATAGTATGGAGGTGACTGATCCTCAAGTATACAAAAAAAGACGTTGATCCAAAAGTTGGAAATTTTTTATTTGTATCATTTTGGACATGAGACACAGAGAAATTTATGAATTAAAAAGTAAATTAAATGTTGTTAAAAAGAAAAATACAGGCTTGGTACAAATTGTTTATAATTAAAATAAGTTTTATTAAATAAAAAATAATATGAAGCTTATTAAAATAGTAAACCAAATATTAAACTTTTCGTCATTATTACCACAACTTTTAATTTAATTACCACACTAATTTGTCGATATCGTTCGGTATCATGCATTACCGTAACCTCGAACAAAATAGTATTGTCGATAATATCATAGGTTAGTATAATTATCCTTAACAAACTTACGTCTCATAGATTGTGTTCCATTTTTTCCACGAAGACCGAGGTCCAAAGAGTCACCCAGCTTTTTACAGATAAATTGGGCGATCACAATTTGCATGTTGTATAGTTGACACTAGTTGCCGACTGCTAATACAACGGCTACTTTGCGCAACGAGTATCTAAGGTGGTTCATAAAAGAAGAATGTAGATTGCATACAACACAGTCGCGCTTCGGTTGTCCGTGTGACAAGCTCGTGAGTGTCCATAATTAACGACTCAGCGCAAAATTTTTGTCAGGCACAAGTTTACGCTATGATTTCGGTTCTTTTTTCCTTGATTGTGATACTTGTCGTGGTCTGCGCCCTCAAATCAATAATTAAACCTAAAAATTATCCTCCAGGTATGTTCAATAATCTACCAAGTTCAGAGAACTTATAATAAAAACCATTTATTCATATGCATAGTTAACTTCCAGAATTGCAATATCAACACAATTACGCCGGACATGGAAAAATTATTCATACATTCATATATTTCCAGATTAGTACAGATTGAACTGACATGTTCAATCATTTAACGTTGTAGAGACAAGATCTTTGTGGCTGATTCTATTTTAACCGCCCATGTCTATATTTGAAGTGTGAATGAGAATTTCAAGTGTGATGTGGTTTGAGTAGTCACTCCGCCAAGTATTTGTCACTTATTACTTTTTAAATGTCTACTCATAAATGTATTTAACGCACACACAAGTACAACAAACTCTGTTGAGCGAGTTTGAACATATTGTCCTCAAAATTGTTTAGGAAAATACGACTAACGGAAAGTTTCAATTGTTAGCAATAATACGAGAGTTCTTGTTAGTTAATTTGTATACGAAAGATCTATAGAACATTTCTTTATTGTTACATCAGTTTTAGAAACAGCATAACCCAATGTATCAGTCATCGAACAGTAGTCCCTTCTTTGAGAAATACAGGTGACTTTTAAATAACTTCTTATCTCTGTTACGGCCGCACCTTTAAACCTGGGATAAGATTATATTTTCTTCGAATATACATTTTGGACTCTAGCAAGTAAGGTTAAGCTTTTATTTCAGTATGTTATTTAATTTTGCTATGAAATATAGGAGTGAAATTAATATTCAATATTTATAAATAACAAGTAGGTATTAACAAATAATAAATATTCACAAATATAATAAGATCGATGACGGCCAATGTTCAAAAGGTAAAATATGGATCAAATTCAATAATTGTTACAGAGATTAATTAATTTTAATTTTCCTACGTATGGTCGAATAATTCAATATTCGGTTGATCCATATCAAGACAATAATTTAGGAATCGCTGTGTATCAGTATTAATAAGTAAAAAAAACCTTATTGACACGGGAAGAGATAGTTCATCTCCACTAGTTACATTGAAATGAAATGAGATAGTGTGGCGAGTCAATTATTTATAAGATCGATTCTAATTTTGACGACTTTTAGACCATTGTCCTTTGTTTGTGTTTGTATTTGTCTAAGGTCCGAAATGGTATCCATTTCTCGGCTCCGGTAATGTTGTACGGACTCTGGCAAAGAAGCATAACTCACAATGGAAAGCATTTTATGAACTCTCAAAGCAATATTCAACGAATGTCCTTGGTCTGAAACTGGGTGGAGAAAATTATGTAGTGGTTTATGGTGAGAAAAATCTTCAACAAGCATTCTCGGCGTTGGAATTCGACGGACGACCGAACAGCTTTTTTATTAAATTGCGGTGTCTCGGGGAAAAAATGGGTAAGATGTGATTGCTAGTTTTACATTTAATTGCTATTCTTAGTATTTATATACTTTGGCTAAGTTTTTTAAGCACATTGTTTTTAATGAAAATTAAGTAGTCTTACTTTTCATTAAATCTCATTTATCTACTGCTATTTTACAATCGAGTTGCAGTCACAGGGTAGTTCGTGTGACTGTGAGAATTTTTTTTTATACTTCTTGTGAGATCAGCGCTTGTTTAAAAGCTTTTCAGATTTAAACGTCTTAGAAATAAGAAAGATTTGTCATAAAGGTAGATATGATTCGTCAACAGAACGAGTTGAAAGAAAATTACAAAAGTAATTTTCTCCAATAAAAATTAGTGTATTAATTATTCGAATTAGGTATTTCTGTTTCTTCTTATTGTATTGCTCTTGTTTTTTTACCTGTATGCAGTACAGAAATAATCCCAAAGGATAAATATTTAAAATCACCTTTATTTCATAGGTAAGCAAATTACACTTGGAATGGTCATATTGATTAAACTCTACTGCTCATTCGTAAGGCAGATTTCCCTGAGAAGTATACAAGAAACTGTAGGGCATCTTCTTTATAAATATACATTTGAATACATTTACCATTTACAATATTTATTTCAAACATCTTAGATCGAGAATACCTGCAAGGGCTAAACGGGTCACTATAACGGAATTTTGTCATCCAAGTACACAGAAGCTGAATAATAACCTATAAAATAATGTTTTTGTTTCATTATAGTTTTAAACCTCGTAAATGCCAAATTTCGAATATCACCCGGAATCTTATACATATAAGCAAATACATTGCCCCTTAAATGAATTTATGACTTTGTGAAGACGACTATCAAGAACAGCTACTTTATTTTTATTCCCCCTATTAATGTTGTCTGTCACTAATAAAAAAAATACTGTTCTTCTTAACATAAATTAGATTTTCATAACTGTACTGTGACGCTAGTGTAAGAATGTTAATCTCTTTTAACTTAAAGACACTCTGGGGCCAAGATTGTAGATTGCCCTAACCGCAGGTTTCTGCAGGACAAAGATTCTATTGATATCGGCGGCAGAAATATTAAAATAAAAAATATGTATTTGTTTTTTAATTAATAATGAAAACATTTTCCACAGGTGTTACTTTTACTGATGGCTCTTTATGGAAAGAACACAGGCATTTCACTATGAAATATTTGAAAAATGTCGGTTTTGGAAGAGCGTTAATGGAGAAAGACATCCAAACAGAATTATCCCACATAATACAGAAAATTATGAATAGTAATAAATCAGTAAATCCAAAAGAAGTATTTGCGTCCGCGGTTATGAATGTTCTATGGAAATCAGTTGCAGGTGAGATAGAATGATGGGTAAGATTGAAAATATCATATTTATTTGAAAAAATCTCCTAACATGATAAACACGCACTTCAAGTAAAATACTCATTGAGTGAAACCTCTTCAAGCATATTTGAAAATAAAATGAGCCTTGAAAACAAAAAACAAAAAGTCCAAAGTACTAAGGTACTATAATATCCATTACCTCATCTGCCGGTCAGACAAGTGGTTTTACCATATAATGGTTACTGCGGTAGGTTCATAAGCACTTGCTTACCGCAGTTACCACGTACTTACGTATCTAATGCAAGAGTACAAACAGGAAGTATCTTGTACCGCTACAGAAACGAACTGATAAAAATTTTAGAGAATGTGTGACGCGAGCTGTCAACGAAGTAATTTTGAAATGAACAAAAGCTGTAGGAAATTTAATTCCATGGTATTCAATGGAGGGTATGTTCGTGTGTGTTGAATTTTAATGGAACCAAAACGGGAAGGTTTAGGCAGTCCTATTGTTACTTATTATAAAGCCGTATTTCGCGGAATACCGCTATTGTATCATTGTCTTTAACGCTTTAATTTAGCAGAGTTAAAGAGATTATATTGAGAGAATTTCAATACGTTTGGATTTAGTCAAAGGTGATAGATATTCCTTCAAATGTAATGAAATATTTACAAAGGCTGATTGGTGCCAACGTAGATAGTCAAATAAAAACCGTTCGGATCAAAATTATGTTTTTAAGTACATGTGAACAAAATGTTTCAGGAGAACGAATAAATGAAGACCGCTTGAAATATCTAATAGACTTATTGGGCGCACGCTCCATAGCTTTCTCTATGGCAGGGGGGTGGTTGAATGAGATGCCGTGGTGTAGATTTATTTTCCCCGACCTGAGTGGCTACAACCTTATAACTAAAATAAATCAGCAAATTTCTGACGTTATCGAGGTTAGTAATAAGATATAAGTTTCTTTTAATGATAGTTAAAACGGATAATTTTTGTTAACCGTAATAAATTTTGTTGTTTTCTAGGATAATGCAAAGTTTATTTTTGATAAATTTTCTGTTAATAAACGATGTTTGTTAAAACCGCGTCAACTTTGTTCGGGAACAAATTGAAAATTTCATTACGTTCATTTCCAGGAAACAATTGAGAAACATAAAAGTAAAGCTGTTGAGGGAAACGACTTCATATATTCATTTTTGCAGGAAATGAATAAAAACAAAAGTACATTTACGGGTAAGTGGTACCTTTTCGAGGTTTTGTATTTTCATTGAAATAATGAAACGTCAAAACGTTTTTTTAATATAAAGCTATTTATTTGATTTCAGAACAGCAATTGAAGTTAACTTGCCTGGATTTACTTATAGCTGGATCGCAGACAACGAGCAATACAATAGAATTTGCAATCTTATCCCTTTTGCAACATCAAGACGTTCAAGGAAAAATATACAATGAGATAAATACTGTTTTAGGTGACACTCCAGTATGTTATGAAGACAGTCGGAGGTTCGACCGTTTTTGAATGTTTATTATTACTTACATGTTTATTATTACTTATATTGTGATAGTGCGAGGTAACAGCCCGTCGTTGCATTTTATGCTTTTAGTTGAGAAATTTAGTAATAACGCTCATGAGACCTCTAGGTTAGGTTAGTGTACACAAAGTACCTGATTTTAAACATAATGACCCCTTTTTACTGCAATTATATCCATAATATTAACCTTAGAACTAAGTCCAAACTCATGGTACCACGATTTCGTTTAACTAAGGTAAACGTTCCTTTTATGAGGAACAAACTGTATACGTTTTTAAAATGAGATTCCGAAGTATATATTAAGATTATCATTTCCTAAGTTAAAACTTACATTAAAAGAATTGAAAGGTCGTATTACAAAATTGAAGAGTATTTGTTAGATAAAGATGTATGGAAAGACAACATGAGTCTTGATTTCACATAATTATGATTCAAAGTGAATTTCCATAGCATACAAGTTTATTTAAAAAGATCAATCCCTAGAGTTTCTTTCTTTCCTATGGGCTTGATTAATTGTTAAGTTCACGAGTATTCTTGCATAATACATATATGTACATTCAAACCAGGGGAAAGAATTAAACAATTTCTTCTCATTTAGACTGCGAAATTTTTTTGCTCGTGGGCCTCTTTATTGGTTCACCTCGGTGGACCATGGGCAATTATTACCTCCCGTGTCTCGTCTATGTTCTAGGGATTTTTCTTTTCTTGTGAGCCACCAAAACAGAACGCAAAGACAAAGGCAATATTATTCTTTAAATTCCATCTATGAATTATAGGTTTTAGGTGACAAGTAAATTTAACGAAATATTAAGCGTATTTGGCGAACGGCAAAGAACAAACAATATAACAGAAGTTTATCATTTTAAATGAAATAAAGACGTAAAGAAATACAAAAGAAATACCTCAATAATGCGACTGTTATCAGTATTGAAAGTTATTGAGTCACGGGTAAACTTTCAAACAAAGAAAAGAAGAATACCCAATATTGAAATACACGATGACATATACAGTTCAGCTCATAAATAAAGAAATTTCTGCGAGCTATGCCTTAGAGAAATTCCATTAATTTATGGAGTATCGAGTATTTTTTGTAACTGGGACCAGTTTGGGAAACTATGCGAAAACATGTATCACTTACGTACCTATCCTACTAATATATAACAACCAAAGTCATTATTAGGTTAGTTATAGTTTTCATTTTCTTATTGTACCTAATAAGTATACTTAAGGATAATATTATAATTTTAATTTATTTTTAGAATTAAAACAGTTCATGTTTTAGGTTTAGTAATTTGTCTTCAGTAGGCAGCATTGGTTTTTATTTTAAAGTATTAAAAGTACATGTTATTATAATGTATTGACATGTCGCCGGAACTCGATAAAATCGTATAAACACTTTTATTTTTTCGAAGCGAATAATAATTAACAAATATCACGCAATACACATAAGAAAGATTTTCTGTAACTGTAAGTTATGCACATATTTTTAAAACGATAAATATTATAATGGCCAGCGAGGTGGACCAGCGCTAAAGTTTTGAGTTTTTCTATTGTATACGCAATAGGTGAACCACGGGAAGAACAATTGCCAATGGTGTACCGAGCTGAACCAGTCAGGTGGTCCACGAGGCAAGAAGCGAAAATAAAATTTGGATTCTTTTATTTCCAGGTTGACGTACACTAACGCGTTTATACTGGAAGTGCAGAGATATTATACTATAGTGCCATTAGTCGGTCCTAGGCGCCTACTCGACGATGTTATCATGGACGGATATACGATACCAAAGGAGACCACAATACTGATGTCCGTGTATGACTTGCATTTCGATCACAAATTATGGGACGAACCATCCAAATTCAAGCCGGAGAGATTCATAACAGAAAACGGAGAGATAAAAATACCAAAATTTATGTTCCATTTCGGGTGTGGTAAGCGATTTTCTTTGTTCCATAGATCAATAAAAAAGTAAACATTATGTATGTCAAAGATTAACTTCGTGCACAGAAAATAATTGAGTCAATGAACAACTGCGAATGCAACGCTAAGCTCCTAAATATATATACATATGATGAACAGGTCTCTGCAACTTTTTTTATTTTTACAGGTCGAAGGCGGTGCTTAGGCGATTCCTTGGCAAAGCGATTCATATTTATGGCTTTGGTGAGTTTGCTGCAAAAATTCAAAATCGTTTGTAGCAATGGCACATTGCCTCGTCTAGAACCGGTAATAGGTTTAATAATGTCACCACAAGTATTTAGCGCAGATTTTGTGCTACGTAAATAGATTGGTTTTTGCAAATCTAAGGCTCGATTTACATTGCTACGGTACGGAATGGAACGGAATCTTCGAATTTGCGAGGATTCTTGCAAAGTTCATTATGCCACGAACTGTTGAGTTTATTGCATGGTATATTTAATGCTACAAAGTTGAAAAAACCGATTCAGATAAAAACGTTTATTACGCATGCACTACTACAAGTGGAATAATGCGGTTGCCGTAGCAATAATAGTGCTGAGGCTCTAGAGATGTGCTCAATACTCATCCTCAAATAAAATCCAAACATCTATGTTTAATTTGCTACAAAAGCGCAATCACGAATTTTAGCAATTACATTTTCAATTATCTTGCATAAACAGTACACTAAACAATTTCAGTATAAACAACAATAACAACTATTTTAAAACAACTCCCATTCGTTACAAACTAAATACTAAACCAATACAATTATTAAGCAACTTAAAAAATATCTTCTTACTTTCATAAAACTTACACTGTTCATTTTCTTCCTTGCTCTTCTCCCATATGTTAAATTATTATAACATTAATCATTTACAAAATAATATGTAAGTTTACCACAAACTTGTTTATGAAACCTTATCTTTACACAAACTTGGTCAATGTGTTTTGTTCGTTTAGAGTTTTCATAATATTTTGCTATGGATATAGCTCCTAAATTGTCTACAAGAAGTATAGTATTTTCCTTGTATCGTAGGTGTTCGCCAATTCCTTTTAAATTAACCAGGTCCCTTGCTGCTGCAATATATTCCGACTACATAGAAACAGCATTATCATTTTTGTATTTCATGTACTTCTGGTGATGGCTATAGTTTCTTCTATATAACTGTCCTCGTGCTCTAAATCCTCTCACATAGTAGCATTCCTTTCTTTGCATTGATCGACTTCGCTCCGGTTATTGTCTTTGTCTTTGGCCTCGTCCTAGGCCTTGATCCCTGTACTAAAATGAATTATTATAGATAACATTATTATATATAACAATTGAAGAACGTATTCTCGAATTGTCCTTTGTTCTCTGTTTTGTTATTATCGTTTTTCATTTTTGTTTCTGCGTTTAATAGTCTTGATTTCACGAAATCATAACTTAATTTATAAAGTGTCATATGTCTTCGATATAGTTGGTTAAAAAGCAAACTTGGTTTTCTTCGTCTATTTTTATATCGATTGCTGCCAAGCTTCAATTTTCATGAGATGCTCTTGAATCGACTCGTTGTCTTCAACCTAAGAGATAACCCTTCCGCTCATAAAGCTTCCTTTTTAAATAATATCTGTTGTATAAGCTCTTCCTTGCGAAAATGCCCTCTCGGTCTTCCAGCATTTTCTTTGCTGTTTCTACCGTTTTTACAATATCTATGTAATTTATCCGATAAGCATTGGACTATTACGGATCGAGCTCTCGCATCGTCTCGTTCGTAATTGGGCAAAGTTTTACATTTTTTTTGTACCAAATACATAACTTACTTGCTTCTCTTCTAAGATTAATTTCAGGCAAAATTTCCACTTATTGAAATTTGATTTTTCATTTAATATTGGAAGCATGATTGCCGCAGCCGCCATTTTCTTGTTTATTTTATTTTATGTATTTTTCCATTTAATTTATTTACAAACCATTTATTTATTTTTCTTGTGGATTCAACCTATTTAAATGAATAATTACTGCTACCATGCTGAGATTATTGGATGGTATATTTAAAACTACAAAGTTGAAAAACCGATTGAGATGAAAACGTTTAGACGGGCTATGCTCAGCCAGCCCAACATTGCAAATTGAATAATGGCGGTTGCCATAACAATACAGAAATAACATGCTGAGGTTCTGAGATACGCTTAACACGTACAATTTTATTACATAAAATCGCTCCGATTTCGTTACGCGGTAATGTAAATTGAGCTTATGACTTATTTAGTAGTATTATATTGAATTTGTGTATTACTTTGAATTACTTGGTGGTTGGTACTTGGTGCAACGGGCTGGTGCCCGCAACTTGAATATCTAATATTGAATAAATATTAATGACATTATAAAAAATGTTAATAAAAGTTTTGTTTTTTAATTTTTTCTTATTTAGGAGCCAAGGTCTTGTTGGTGGAGTAATGTTCAACCATTTCTGTTCAGCGCCCTAACTTGGTGTTCCTTTAAATAACTTCATCTAGGACTTCTTCTGCTTCTCTTTTCTTCGATTTTCCCCTCTGCAATTCTTCTAAGAAAAGTATTTTAGTTGCGGTTGAACCTGAATTAATCAAATGTAATCGCAATACTGATAAATGTTTAGACAAAGTTAAAAACAGGTATTTGTTATTGAATATAAACTTAAGGAAAAACTAACTCATACTTAAGGCTTACTTAAGAACTGTAGTCTGTCTTTTTTGAAGACGGAGTAAAATTACAGTTTATTGTGCAAAAGTGTTGCGCGGGTGCAAGTGGTTACGAGCAGCTAGTGATTGCAGTCGATAAATATTCTATCGACTATCTACTGAATATTGGTCACGCTTATAGAATAAATAACGGAACTTGTTTCATTTCAATCATACTCGAGCCATTATTCATTGAATTACGTAAGTTCATACATACAATATATACACTGTATTTTGTTTGTGAAAAATACAAAGAGGAGACATATTTTAAAATTTTTAATTTTAATTCAGTATAATAATAATAAGAATAATAATAATAATCATTTATTTCGGAACAGGGTTAGTTACACAATACAAAAATACAAAAAACAAAATAAAAAAGAAACAAAATAAAACTATGCTATGAAGTCGCATCCAGTGTGCGAACATCGGCGAGTCCCAGCGTGCAGACAACGCGCTCAGGATGCGGTTGGGGCTGCCGCGCAAGCGGCTTAGCATCGAGGCACACCTCTTGCGCATAATGGCTGCAAACCCGTCTGTATGCGACTCCGCAAACATCCCCGAGGCGCTACAAAAGCGCGGCAGCCCCAGCAACACCCGGAATGCGTTGTTGTATTGCACGCGCAGGCCGTTGTATGTCCTCTGCGTATAGTTGACCCACAGACTGCACGTGTAAAAGGACTGACAATAAGATTTAAACAGTGTAATCTTTACTTGTCTCGTACAGCGTCCAAACCTGCGGGCCAACATGTTACAACGAACAGCCAACGACCTACGCTCCCTCTCGATGTCGCTATTGTCAGATAGGTCATCCGTGACCCAATGACCCAAGTACTTAAATTTCGAAACTATTTTTAAAGGAGCGCCGCAAAGTGTTAGATTAGGTATAATATTGTAACACTTAGTACCTGCCTTAAATGCTCGCTCTTCGAAACATTGTACCTGAGTCCATGGGCCACAGCGTATGACTCACAAATTTGCAACATAGACATAAGTGCTCTAATCGATGGACTGAGCAGCACCATATCGTCAGCGTAACTTATATTATTAACACACATTCCGTCAATATGACATCCGACCATAGTGCGGCTCAGCTCATCGATGAGTCTATTCATATATAGATTGAAAAGTTTGGGCGAGCTCAGCCCCCCCTGCCTCACCCCGCATTCCAATCCATAACAGTCCGAAGTAGCACTTCCCCATCTGATATGGTTGCTTTGGTTATTGTACCAATACCTGAACAACTCCGTTATTTCACGCGGCAAAGTGGTGTCATTATATAGTTTATCCCA